TCTTTGACTGCCTGCTTCTCTGCTTCTCTGACTGCCTGCTTCTCTGCTTCTCTGACTGCCTGCTTCTCTGCTTCTCTGACTGCCTGCTTCTCTGCTTCTCTGACTGCCTGCTTCTCTGCTTCTCTGACTGCCTGCTTCTCTGCTTCTCTGACTGCCTGCCTCTCTGCTTCTCTGACTGCCTGCTTCTCTGCTTCTCTGACTGCCTGCTTCTCTGCTTCTCTGACTGCCTGCATATACCAACCATCTAGCATCTTACAATTACATCTGGACACACAACATGATTGAATGGCGTTCTCAAAGTCTGTCTGATTAAATGCTTTGGGCCCTGTGAGGCGTTTCTGCTTCATTTCAACCTGTGGGAGTTGAAATGATGCTATGATGTAGCCACGAGCAGACCAGTAACCTGTGAATGTCTGAGTCATGTAGACTACTTGTATTTGAGAGAGGACAAGGAGGGAGAACTAAACGTTTTTTCATTTGAGGGTGGCCCTGGTCGGGTAGGACATAGACTATGCGATGATATCACAACTTACTGTGCATGATGATTTGTGAAACCCCCCCCCTTCTGCACGTATAACTTGTCCTTGTTAAGGAACCAACGAACCGCTCCTCATAGTCAAGTCTCCTTTACATTCTGATGAAGATGTAACGTCATTAAGAAATACAACATGTATTTTGTGGACATATATAAACTAATCTTGGCCTATATGTTCATCGGAATGTTTCAATTAATCGCAGGCCTGTATTAATAATGGAAACCATCCATCCACTTGACAGTGATGGCCAGACTTGGTTTATTGTCCGTTTTGACAGATGGCTCGCATGGGTGCTAATAGGCTATTATTCGATCATAATTTCATTTAATTCATAGCCTTAATTCTGAAATTCTATTCACCGCATTGCTCTGGTATGAACATATAATTAATCAAATAAAATATATATAAGAGGGTCGAAATATGTCCTTGTGATTTGCTGCCATTTTCTACTACCTGCACTGAAAATCATGTGGATAGCCTATAAATCAATATTCACTGCAATGATTTGCCGCACAAAATGTCAATCCTGGGCCACGATATCATGACAGAATTTGAAGCAAGATCATTGAATGTCCAGTCAAAAAAACCTGCAAGGAGCCATGATGTCCCGGTATTTCTACCGAGCGGCAGGCGTGCACTTCACATTCTTACCGTTCTGCGAGGAGACAGAATGCAGCATCAGTACTCCAATGAACGCCACCGAGACCGACATAATTTCGGCTCTTCGTTTTCCAGGTAGCATCGACTCGGGTGGTAGATGCCGGTAACGGGGAAAGTGGTGCAGTGGCCTGAATGTTGGAGTGAGGGGACCGGGTTACCGGGTAGATACCGATCTGATGGAAGGAAGCGGCCTCTAATACTCCAATTGGGTCACGCAAAAACCGCGGCGCGCTCGCTCACCAGACGGGTGCTGACGCCACGCCACCTGTGCAGTGCCCGGTGCGCGGTGTTGAAATCACTCGAAGGAACCGCCTTTCTCATACGTTAGTGCTATCTGGGATCCCTGGTACGTCCCTACCCTAAACCCTAACCTTAACCCCTACCCTAACCTTAACCACAACCCCTACCTAACCCTAACCTAACCCAAACACTAACCATTTCACTTTTCAACTTCAATGGGGTAGGGACCCTTTCTCATCTGCGGTGGCAAATCCCGCGAGATTACATTTTGTAGGCTGTACAGATCCAACAATTTATGCTATTTGCTGTGTACGCTGCAGTGTATAATAATAATAATAATTTATTACATTTCTATAGCGCTTTTCATAGATTCTCAAAGCCAGAGGACAGTTCAGATGGGAATATCATGCTAGGCAAGTTATTTAGAAGCCACCGTTATCCTTACGGTAGTCCAATAAACAAATAGTAGATTTAGAATAGAATTGATTAGAAGAATATAGCCTAGAATACAAAATAATAGAATATAATGAATATGCTAGATTATAATGAATAGCCGATACTAGAATATAATAAAGTAGAATAGAGTAGAATAGGTCATCCCGAGTGGCGCAGTGCATCGCAGTGCTAGCTGTGCCACTAGAGATTCTGGTTCGAATCCAGGCTCTGTCGTAGCCGGCCGCGACCGGGAGACCCATGGGGCGGCGCACAATTGGTCCAGGGTAGGGGAGGGAATGGCCCAGCGTCGTCCAGGGTAGGGGAGGGAATGGCCGGCAGGGATGTAGCTCAGTTGGTTCGATTCCCACGGGGGGCCAGTATGAAAAATAAAAAAAATAATGTATGCACTCACTAACTGGATAAGAGCGTCTGCTAAATGACGTAAATGTCATGTGATATGAATATGTCAGGTAGGTCCTGTTGGTTGAGCATGGTGCTTGCAAGGCCAGGATTGTTGGTTAGATTCCCAGGGCAATCCACATATAAATTGTATGCAGCATGACTGTGAGGTGCTTTGGATAGAAGCGTCTGCTAAATGGCATATATTATAATATTATATTGCGTAGGCGTCTGGTCAGTAGCCAGCTACCTGGTTCCATTCTACCTGGTTCAATGGGTCAAGCTGACTCCACCACAGACGGACACACAGACACCTGGCTAAGCCCTGACCTCAGCCAGCAGCCAGGCTTTATTGGGACTTTTAATCCTATTTCACTGTCAACTCACTCATACTACAGCAGGAGAACAGGTGGCAGTCAGTCAGGCAATGATTGCCATGTTATCTCGTGTCTGAATGAGCCACAAAATTCTCTCTCTCCTAGGCTAAATGATAAACACTATGTATATATCCCCGGGACCACCCATACACAAAAAATGTATGCACGCATGACTGTAAGTCGCTTTGGATAAAAGCGTCTGCTAAATGGCTTATTATTATTATTTATTATTATTATTATTATTATTATTATTATATTATTATATACTGTAGGCCTATTTCACTGTGAACTCAAACAGCAGGAGAGCATGGCAGCCTGGCAATGGAAGAACACGTACAATCTATTGTTTCCATGAATGACCCACAAAATGATCTCTCCTACACTTCATGATAAACACTAGGCCTACAGTAAACCCTTCACTTCATGATAAACACTAGGCCTACAGTAATCCCTTCATGCTAACCTTCCATTGCTTTTTAACCTCAACGGGATCGGTGTCCCGTATACGGGACGGTTGAGCTAACGTGCGCTAATGTGATTAGCATGACTGTTGTAAGTAACATCAAACTTTCCAGGACATAGACATGTCTTATATGGGCAGAAAGCTTAACTTCTTGTTAATCTAACTGCACTGTCCCATTTACAGTAGCTATTACAGTGAAAAAATACCATGCTATTGTTTGAGGAGAGTGCACAACAACAAAAAACTTATCATGGCAACTGGTTTGACACATTCACCTATGAAGGTAAATAATGTACTTACATTCAGTAATCTTGCTCTGATTTGTCATCCTGGTGGTCCCAGAGATAAAATGTAGCATAGTTTTGTTTGATAAAATCCATTTTTATATTCAAATGTAGGAACTGGGTTCTACAGTTTGAACCCTTGCTGTCTCTGGCTCCACACCCACCCCGCCCGGCCATCTAAATGTATGAAAGTTAGTGTATAAACTAATGATCCATCATGTATGACATTCCTGGGAGTGTGTAAACTTACATTTTGTATTACCATATCATGTTTGTATGTTCTCTATAGTAATGTACTTGAAAATGTATCAATTGACCAATTCGGCACATTTGGGCAGACTTGATACAAAATAGTCCAGTATTGCAACGCTTCACTGAATCAATCTGAAACTTTGCACACACACACTGCTGCCATCTAGTGGCCAAAATCTGAATTGCGCCTAAACTACAATATTATATTGTGGCATTTCTCTTGTATTTCAAAGATGATGGAACAAAACAAAAATAGAAAACACATGTTTTTTTGTTTGTATTATCTTTTACCAGATCTAATGTGTTATATTCTCCTACATTTATTTCACATTTCCACAAACTTCAAAGTGTTTCCTTTCAAATGGTATCAATAATATGCATATCCTTGCTTCAGGTCCTGATCTACAGGCAGTTAGATTTGGGTATGTCATTTTAGGCGAAAATGGGGAAAAAAAAGGGTCCGATTCTTAAGAAATAATTAGGCGTACAATGTCCAGATCACAAGAAGGTCAAGTTGAAAGCGTAGGTTGAAAGGCATGACAGAAAGCTTTTAACACAAATGTGGCCATCTGTACAAGCATGAGTCAATGCATTGCTGCCATAATTCGTGTAATCCAGCCAAAAGAAATCTACACATTACTAGTCCACTTGAATGTTGTCAGAGCGTTCCTCTGCTGCCCCCTACAGTACATATACAGTAGATAACGCAGACACTGAAGACAGTGTCAATACATACATGAAAGGGTCTAGCTGGAAGGTGAAGTGTTTCCTTCCTATACAGGTTCAGAGATGATATTTTGTGTGTTTTTGAATGGAACTAATATAAACTTGTTTCGTGTAAATTACTAATGTGTACACATTGTAAAATCTGTAGTACACAATACACGTCTATATGACAGTTATGTGGGCTACACATACGTTTTTCCCACTGTCCTATTTAGCTTTGCTGTAACATTTAAATAATATTTTCAGTTAGCGTTCCTTGAATAATGTGTTAGATCAACAAAGATCCATATGCTTTGGGACTTATGTTTCCCTCCAGTTTCCCTATAGCACCCTACCTCGCTCGGGGTCTCAGGGAAGGGTTCATCTCCGTGGATACCATGGACACCGTGTCTGTCAGACCCACGTGGCCAATAGGTTGTATAGACTCAGACATGGCAGCTACGCCTTCCTTTGATGTCAACTAATGAGACCAGAAATGTGTACTCTGTGCCTTGAGGGCAAAGCCTTCCCACAAACCCAGTGTTAACCATTAATCACTGGTGCTCCTGCATGTCTGCCATGTTCCACCACCTCTCTCCTCTCTTAGACTGCTCAGTCTCTGTTCACACTTTATGTAGAATCGTCTAGTATGGAAAGGAGGCAACAATGGCTCTCCCGACTGGAGAGTGAATTCGGCAACAGCCCCCTCGTCTCCAACGTGGCTTTCGGCTTCATCCTGATGGGCTTGGAGAAGCTGGAATTCGAGTGTCCCTGCGACCCCAAATGGAACGGGCTGTTTTCCTCCGCCGTCTTCGTCGTTCCTGCCATCATGGCATTTATGCTGATGCTAGTCATCCAGGACTGCAGGTACGATCTGAGCAGGCTGCCCCAGGACGGTGTCCATCTCCAGCCTGGTTCCCCCCATCGTCTGGCTGATCCGGCTCTTCCTGGCTGGACAGTACTTTGCAGGTTTGTGATTTGTTGACAAGGCCAGCTCCTCAGAAGTGGTGTGAGCCGCTGCCATGACGACGGCACGCTGCAGGAGCTCACGGTGCACTCTCAGGAAGTCTCAGGTGAGAAGACACACTGAGGTTAGTTTCCTAGACCCAGATTAAGCCTTGTCCTGGACTATAATACACTTTCAATGGAGAATTTCCATTGAGATATATTTTTTTATCCAGGACAAGGCTTAATCTGAGTCCGGGAAAACGGCCCCTGGTTATTATTATTGATGACTGTGGCATTAAGCAAAGAAAAGTACTGGTCAAATAGAAACAAAGTAATGTCATGATGAATAGCTCTTGTTTCTGTTGTGAATACTGTATTTGCTTATCCTCCATGACCCTTGACCTTAGTGCATATGGGGTGGCAGGTAGCATAGGTGGGCCAGACAACTGGAGGTTTACCGGTTCAAATCCCAAGTCCGACAGGATACGTCTCCTGCCATTGTGCCCTTGAGCAATGCACTAATGCATTGCACCCCTAATATTGCTCCAGGCTCGATGCACTATGGTTGACCCTGCGCTTTCATCCCCTCTGGGTGTGTGTCTTGGTTTTCCTGGGGGAGTTGGGTTGTAAGCAAGATAACACATTTCCATTCTCCACATGATTTCTCTTCTTCTAATGAAGTCTTCTTGTAGGTTATTGGTATTCCTCTGCTGATCTTCATCTGTGTGGGACTCTTAGTGTACGTGATCAGAGAGAGCTGCCAGCAGGAACAGGAACTCCAGGAAGTCAACAACACCTATGAGATGTATGAGATGACATCATACTTTTCTGGTGTCGTTTTTTAAAGGTGGCTGTTTTTAAAGGTGGCTGGTTGGTGGTGGGGGGGGGCTTGTTGTGGATTACAAATGTTCTCTGTCACTGTCAAAATGTTATATCAAGTTTGTATGTAAGGTATAGCAACCAATATAACAAATGTTCCTCATAGCTATCATTTATAAATAGGAACGTTTATAAACATTGGTACAAATGATGTGTCTATTCCAATAGGTGATGTCTTGCCATGTACCTCTCTTTGCCAAACAGCAGATGGACTCACACACGGTCTGCCCTGGCACCTTCTGAGACCCAGCAGGGACTGATATCCGTTGTTGACATAAGCATTTGTGAACTTCTTATGTAGTGCTTATGAATGTGTTATTTATAATTGATGTGTTATGAAACCCTTAAAGGTGCAATCCGAGATACAGCAAACCAAAAACTGGTCACTTTGGTAAACAACTCTGTAAAAATGGTGGGGTGACCACTTTATTGTTGTTTGAATCCCAGATTGCCAGGTACCCTTCAAAACTACGTTTAATATCTTACAAACAAATATGGAGCGTTACAAAACAAGCGCAGCGTCTGGACATGAAAACGGAACCAATACTGCCTGATGGGTGATACTAGGGAGTGCTAGATAAAGGGGAAGTATTCAGGGTAGTGATGAAGTCCAGGTGTACGTAATGATGGGTTGCCAGGTGTGCTTAATGATGGGTTGCCAGTTGTGCGTAAAGATGGGTTGCCAGGTGTGCGTAAAGATGGGTTGCCAGGTGTGCTTAATGATAGGTTGCCAGGTGTACTTAATGAGGGTTGCCAGATGTGCTTAATGATGGGTTGCCAGATAGGCTTAATTTTTTATGCCATTTAGCAGACGCTTTTATCCAAAGCGACTTACAGTCATGCGTGCATACATTTTTTTTTTTGTGTATGGGTGGTCCCGGGGATCGAACCCACTACCTTAGCGTTACAAGCGCCGTGCTCTACCAGCTGAGCTACAGAGGACCTTAATGATGGGTTGCCAGGTGTACTTAATGAGGGTTGCCAGGAGTACTTAATGAGGGTTGCCAGGTGTACGTAATGATGGGTTGCCAGGGCCGGTGGTTAGTAGACTGGTGACGTGAGCGCCCGGAGCGGGAGTAGATGTGACAGCCAGGCTCCAAAGATCTTCCATTCTTTGTAGCGCTGAATAGTACCATCGTCATCCTGAGTCCTTCTGATCCATCAGAGGGTGTGGAGAACTCTCATACATTGCCTACCAGTTTGAGACCCTATAGTTTAGCTAACATGGACCGACCCCAACCTTAGCTACTGGACTGACCCCAATCCTGGTTACTGGACTGACCCCAATCCTGGTTACTGGACCGACCCCGACCCTGGTAACTGGACCAACCCTGGTAACAGGTCCGACCCCAACCCTGGTAACTGGACCAACCCTGGTAACAGGTCCGACCCCGACCCTGGTAACTGGACCAACCCTGGTAACAGGTCCGACCCCAACCCTGGTAACTGGACCAACCCTGGTAACAGGTCCGACCCCGACCCTGGTAACTGGACCAACCCTGGTAACAGGTCCGACCCCAACCCTGGTTAATGATTCGGATCAGAACCATAGATTATGGAAACACACTGGAGTGAATGCACCTAGCCTGGACCCAGATCAGCCTTGCCAACTCAATGGCCGTAGGAGTTATGAATGTTACCATTACATATACGCAATTCAAAGCCAAAACTGTGGTAATAACAAAAGTAACTTACAAAGGAAGATGGCTTTGAGGAGTGCACCAAGCTTTCAACCCTCTGTGAAAAGAGCTGGGTCTTCTTCAAAAAGATCTGAACATGATCCAAGCATGACAACACTTCCCAGCAAGCTCTGCATGTTTCATATACAGTGAGGGAAAAAAGGATTTGATCCCACTGACAAAGACACGATCAGTCTATAATTTTAATGGTAGGTTTATTTGAACAGCGAGAGACAGAATAACAACAAAACAATCCAGAAAAACGCATGTCAAAAACGTTATGAATTTATTTGCATTTTAATGAGGGAAATAAGTATTTGACCCCCTCTGCAAAACATGACTTAGTACTTGGTGGCAAAACCCTTGTTGGCAATCACAAAGGTCAGACGTTTCTTGTAGTTGGCCACCAGGTTTGCACACATCTCAGGAGGGATTTTGTTCAACTCCTCTTTGCAGATCTTCTCCAAGTCATTAAGGTTTCGAGGCTGACGTTTGGCAACTCGAACCTTCAGCTTCCTCCACATATTTTCTATGGGATTAAGGTCTGGAGACTGGCTAGGCCACTCCAGGACCTTAATGTGCTTCTTCTTGAGCTACTCCTTTGTTGCCTTGGCCGTGTGTTTTGGGTCATTGTCATGCTGGAATACCCATCCGTGACCCATTTTCAATGCCCTGGCTGAGGGAAGGAGGTTCTCACCCAAGATTTGACGGTACATGGCCTCGTCCCTTTGATGCGGTGAAGTTGTCCTGTCCCCTTAGCAGAAAAACACCTCCAAAGCATAATGTTTCCACTTCCATTTTTGATGGTGGGGATGGTGTTCTTGGGTCATAGGCAGCATTCCTCCTCCTCCAAACACGGCGAGTTGAGTTAATGCCAAAGAGCTCGGATTTTGGTCTCATCTGACCACAACACTTTCACCCAGTTCTCCTCTTAATCATTCAGATGTTCATTGGCAAACTTCAGACGGCCCTGTATATGTGCTTTTCTTACAGGTCAAACGTTTTCTGTAAGTCTTCACAAGGTTTTCACACACTGTTGCTGGTATTTTGGCCCATTCCTCCATGCAGATCTCCTCTAGAGCAGTGATGTTTTGGGGCTGTCGCTGGGCAACACGGACTTTCAACTCCCTCCAAAGATTTTCTATGGGGTTGAGATCTGGAGACTGGCTAGGCCATTCCAGGACCTTGAAATGCTTCTTACGAAGCCACTCCTTCGTTGCCCGGGCGGTGTGTTTGGGATCATTGTCATACTGAAAGACCCAGCCACGTTTCATCTTCAATGCCCTTGCTGATGGAAGGAGGTTTTCACTCAAAATCTCACGATACATGGCCCCATTCATTCTTTCCTTTACACGGATCAGTCGTCCTGGTCCCTTTGCATAAAAACAGCCCCAAAGCATGATGTTTCCACCCCCATGCTTCACAGTAGGTATGGTGTTCTTTGGATGCAACTCAGCATTCTTTGTCCTCCAAACACGACGAGTTGAGTTTTTACCAAAAAGTTCTATTTTGGTTTCATCTGACCATATGACATTCTCCCAATCCTCTCCTGGATCATCCAAATGCACTCTAGCACGGGCCTGGACATGTACTGGCTTAAGCAGGGGGACACGTCTGGCACTGCAGGATTTAAGTCCCTGGCGGCGTAGTGTGTTACTGATGGTAGGCTTTGTTACTTTGGTCCCAGCTCTCTGCAGGTCATTCACTAGGTCCCCCCGTGTGGTTCTGGGATTTTTGCTCACCGGTCTTGTGATCATTTTGACCCCACGGGGTGAGATCTTGCGTGGAGCCCCAGATCGAGGGAGATTATCAGTGGTCTTGTATGCCTTCCATTTCCTAATAATTGCTCCCACAGTTGATTTCTTCAAACCAAGCTGCTTACCTATTGCAGATTCAGTCTTCCCAGCCTGGTGCAGGTCTACAATTTTGTTTCTGGTGTCCTTTGTCAGCTCTTTGGTCTTGGCCATAGTGGAGTTTGGAGTGTGACTGTTTGAGAACTTCCGCGGCCCTGTATATGTGCTTTCTTGAGCAGGGGGACCTTGCGGGCGCTGCAGGATTTCAGTCCTTCACGGCGTAGTGTGTTACCAATTGTTTTCTTGGTGACTATGGTCCCAGCTGCCTTGAGATCATTGACAAGATCCTCCCGTCTAGTTCTGGGCTGATTCCTCACCGTTCTCATGATCATTGCAACTCCACGAGGTGAGATCTTGCATGGAGCCCCAGGCCGAGGGAGATTGACAGTTATTTTGGTGTTTCTTCCATTTGCGAATAATCGCACCAACTGTTGTCACCTTCTCACCAAGCTGCTTGGCGATGGTCTTGTAGCCCATTCCAGCCTTGTGTAGGTCTACAATCTTGTCCCTGACATCCTTTGAGAGCTCTTTGGTCTTGGCCATGGTGGAGAGTTTGGAATCTGATTGATTGATTGCTTATGTGGACAGGTGTCTTTTATACAGGTAACAAACTGAGATTAGGAGCACGCCCTTTAAGAGTGTGCTCCTAATCTCAGCTCATTACCTGTCTAAAAGACACCTGGGAGCCAGAAATCTTTCTGATTGAGAGGGGGTCAAATACTTTTTTCCCTCATTAAAATGCAAATCAATTTATAACATTTTTGACATGCGTTTTTCTGGATTGTTTTGTTGTTATTCTGTCTCTCACTGTTCAAATAAACCTACCATTAAAAGTATAGACTGATCATTTCTTTGTCAGTGGGCAAATGTACAAAATCAGCAGGGAATCAAATACCTTTTTCCCTCACTGTACACTCCCTCATGCTATCATGTAGAGAAAATAATGTTGACCGCTTAACTGACTGGATAAATGACAACACTTAAAGTTGCTCTGTAATAAATCACAGAGATATTAGAGTTAACACTGTGCTATCTTCCATCACAATTAGAGTTGACACCATGCTATCTTCCGTCACAATTAGAGTTAACACCATGCTATCTTCCATCACAATTAGAGTTAACACCATGCTATCTTCCATCACAATAACTATCTACTACAGTATTTCTGTCTCTACAATGTTGGTCCAATAAATTGATTGCCCATTACCTCTGCAGCAGCCATATGGTTACAATGATCCTCACAGAAGATAACTTCCCATTTACAGTGACAGAATGTCGGCCAATCAAAATGGACATAATGAAGTCATCGTGATATTTTCTTTCTCTATGTCACCGTCTCCTGAGTATACTGCATTGATTTTTTTAAATCCATACATATTAGATTTTTTTGAATTATAAAGATATCATATACCACAAAACAATGTTTTATTGATAAAAATACACATTTTATTGATACAAATGTAAATGTTATTGATAATTTGCCGATTGATCAATGATAAGATGATATATTCATATTCACATGTCAAAACACGACATCATTCACTTTTCACTTTATTCCTGCAAAACACCTTACGCCAAACACATCTTACGACCGACAGGCAAACCAGCGTTACAAGCAACACACACGTCAGCAAAGCCGCTATCACATCAACTGAGTGGTACACTATCCAGGACATCTTATGCGACTCTGTCCTCAGGTGACGAGCTCCTTTATGCCTCATGACAAACTCGATCCAGAACACCGCGTTGTCCAGCGGCTTAATGGGTTGGTCCCTGTGCAGCCTGGACAACCTCTGCATGTTCTCCGTGTAGGACGGTTCATGCAGCACAGCCTCCAAAGCCTCCAGGAACACTTCTCTGTCCATGGTGACGATGTCCACCATCCTAGCTGCTCCCCTCGCCTTCATCTTGGAGAGGTTGTCGGCCTGGTCGAAGGCGAGAGGGAGGCCGACCAGGGGGACGCCGTGGTAGATGGCCTCCTGGACACCGTTGGTTCCTCCGTGGGCTACGAAGGCCCGGGTCTTGGGGTGTCCTAGGAGGTCGTTCTGGGGTAGCCAGCCCACCAGTAGGGTGTTGTTACCCAGGGTGGAGGGTCTCTGTCCAGTATACCTGAGAATCACAAGAGAACCACAGTGGATATACAAGTATTTGGTCAATAACAAAAGTTTTTCAATACTTTGTTATATACCCTTTGTTGGCAATGACACAGGTCAAACATTTTCTGTAAGTCTTCACAAGGTTTTCACACACTGTTGCTGGTATTTTGGCCCATTCCTCCATGCAGATCTCCTCTAGAGCAGTGATGTTTTGGGGCTGTCGCTGGGCAACACGGACTTTCAACTCCCTCCAAAGATTTTCTATGGGGTTGAGATCTGGAGACTGGCTAGGCCACTCCAGGACCTTGAAATGCTTCTTACGAAGCCACTCGTTCGTTGCCCGGGCAGTGTGTTTGGGATCATTGTCATGCTGAAAGACCCAGCCACGTTTCATGTTCAATGCCCTTGCTGATGGAAGGAGGTTTTCACTCAAAATCTCACGATACATGGCCCCATTCATTCTTTCCTTTACACGGATCAGTCGTCCTGGTCCCTTTGCAGAAAAACAGCCCCAAAGCATGATGTTTCCACCCCCATGCTTCACAGTAGGTATGGTGTTCTTTGGATGCAACTCAGCATTCTTTGTCCTCCAAACACGACGAGTTGAGTTTTTACCAAAAAGTTATATTTTGGTTTCATCTGACCATATGACATTCTCCCAATCCTCTTCTGGATCATCCAAATGCACTCTAGCAAACTTCAGACGGGCCTGGACATGTACTGGCTTAAGCAGGGGGACACGTCTGGCACTGCGTAGTGCGTTACTGATGGTAGGTTTTGTTACTTTGGTCCCAGCTCTCTGCAGGTCATTCACTAGGTCCCCCGTGTGGTTCTGGGATTTTTGCTCACCGTTCTTGTGATCATTTTGACCCCACGGGGTGAGATCTTGCGTGGAGCCCCAGATCGAGGGAGATTATCAGTGTGTCTTCCATTTCCTAATAATTGCTCCCACAGTTGATTTCTTCAAACCAAGCTGCTTACCTACTGCAGATTCAATCTTCCCAGCCTGGTGCAGGTCTAGAATTTTGTTTCTGGTGTCCTTTGACAGAACATGTAAATCTGTTGACTTTTGTTTTTAAGTCATGGGCCCAGACACATAAAGTCCTGGACTAAAAACACGCTCAATGGAGAATAACCTTTGAAATAGCTTTTTTAGTCCAGGACCAGACTTTATTGTGTTTGGGGAAACCGGCTGCATTTTTATTTATAATTTGTCCAATTAATTGAGGATCTATCCATACCTCCAGATGACCTTCTGAGGCAGCTGGGCGAACGCGGCGGCGATTTCGTCCGCGATATCTTCAGGGAGCTCTGCCACTAAAGTCCCCAGAGTCATCATGACAACCCCGTGCTCTCCGGAACTCTGAACAAACTCCTCCAGGTCCCGTGGAAGAGGCTTGGAGGGCCTACACTGGAACCCACCCATGTAGACAATATTCGGCATGGTGGGTTTCGGAAACTCAAAGACAAAATCGCTTCTCATGAGCCAGATATCTGCTTCTTGGAAGAATGCGTTGTAGTCGACGTTAGGTCCAAAGTAACGCTGGACTACCGGTTTGTAGTTGGGTTCTGTAATAGATGCCATGGTGTAACTCCCGAGTGTGTAAGCTATGACGTTGGTGACTCTCTGGGGGAAGGTCATCTTGTCTGTCAACTCTGTGGGTGCGTATGGGACATAGGAGAGAGGCGAGGGGGCGATGACCAAATGAGCTTCACCTTGAATGGTCCATCTGACATTGTATACCAGAGGAAGGCTGAGGAAGCGGGCTAAGATCGTGCCTCCGCCAACCCCAGGATCTGTCAGAACCAAATCAAACTTAGCATCGCGGAGAGACTGGATCAACTCGCCGTCTTCAAGGACCCGAGCGATCATTTCAGCCATGTTCCTGTGGAACCCGAAAAAAGTGTCCTTCATTGATGACTGAAGCTTCATTTCGGTCCAAAAGCTTTTCCCCTGCTCCCTTTGGATCTTCAGGTGTTTACTTAATATAAATTCACCAAAGAAGTTTTCATCGAAGCCACCAGTGTTAGGGATGGTAATGGCGGTGTAGTGGGGGGAATTCTCCTTGATGTACCAGCTGTTTGACGCTCGCACCACTGTGATGTCATGGCCTTTGGAATGCAGCTCTTCGATGATGACTCTCATGTTGATCCAGTGGCTTCCGTCCAATGGGTAGATTAATATTTTACCCCCACAGACAATATTGGACAGAGTGAAGAGCAATACAGCCAATGAGATGAGGGTTGGTTGATACATCCATCCATCCATTGTGAATCCTTCAGTGGAAACCTTAATTAGATACAAGGAAGTAGATGTCAAACAATCAATCACAATAATGAACTAGCCATCAGCTATAGTGTTTAGCACATGCTGTAACATCTGACATTTGTATAGGAATCAGAGAATTGAATTGTCTCTCTGGCCTTTTTTATAAAGTTGTGAATGGGTTGGTATTCAACTAATATACCAGGTAATCTAATCTAGGTTAATGTATACTGTCATCCCAATCCAATTCTACATCATCATTCTACAGGGTCATTTTCAGATGGACTCATAGTTGCACAAGATCATATCAGATACATCCGAGTCAGACCTGGGTTCAAAAACTATTTGATATAATTTCAAATACTTTAGCTGTGATTGAGAATTGCTGTGGCAATGGAACCAGTAGAAAAGTCCCATAAGTGCAAACCCGGCATTCCAGGCACTCCAGGTAGAGAAAAGCAAACGCTTAAAGTATTTAAAAGATTTCAAATGGTGCTTGAACCCAGGTCTGCTCTAGGGGAAGGTTTATGGTTATGCAACCTCATTGTTCAATGAGAATATATTCTGACTACTGCAAATCACATTAGGAAGCACAGAATGAGTTGGCGGATGGGAGGAGCAACTAGCCTGCTGGTCCCAGATCTGTTTGTACCATCTTGAAATGTCTGTTTGTTTGGTGTGACAATCAACATACACTCTTAGATAAAAAGGTGCTATCTAGAACCTAAAAGGGTTATTTGGCTGTCCCCATAGGATAACCCTTTGAAGAACCCTTTTTTTCCCTCCAGGTAAAACCCTTCTTGTTCCAGGTAGAACCCGTTCCACAGAGGATTCTACATGGAACCCAAAAGGGTTCTACCTGGAACCAAAAAGGGTTCTACCTGGAACCAAAAAGGGTTCTCATATGGGGACAACCGAAGAACCCTTTTGGAAACCTTTTTTTCTAAGAGTGTAGGAGTTGGCCAGGCAGCACAAACAGATCTGGAACCAGGCTAAGGAGTAGCATCCACGGATCAACTCCTATTGCTACTACATCCTTAGAAATAGCTGTGTTGAACCACAAAGACCATAGCCTGAAATCCAGAACCTGTTTTGTGCAAACATTCCACTTCTTGTGCTCCGTGTCATTGTTTGGCATGACAAGGAGCGGTATCTTCGCACAAACAGACTAGATTTCTCCAGGTTACACAGATCACATATAATTTTTCCAATTAGTTTTCCATCTTTGCATAATAAACTGCCTGTATGACGCAAAAGGACAGAGTGAAAAGGAAGCCTGTGCAGAATAAAAATAGTCCAAAACATGCATCCTGTTTGCAATAAGGCAAAAAATGTGGCAGAGAAATTAACTTTATGTCCTGAATACAAAGTGTTATGTTTGAGGCAAATCCAACACAACACATCACTGAGTACCACTCTTCATGGTGGTGGCGGCATCATGTTATGGGTATGCTTGTCATGGGCAAGGACTAGGGAGTTTTTTAGGATAAAAAGAAACGGAATAGAGCTAAGCACAGGTAGAATCTAAAGGAAAACCTGGTTCAGTCTGCTTTCCAACAGACACTGGGAGACACATTCTCCTTTCAGCAGGACAATAACCTAGAACACTAGGCCAAATCTACACTGCATTGCTTAACAAGAAACCAATGAATGTTCCTGGGTGGCCAAGATACAGTTTTGACTTTGATTGAAAATCTATGGTAAGACCTGAAAATGGTTGTCTAGCAATGATCAACAACACATTTGACAGAGCTAGAAGAATCTTTGAATATAAATAATGGGCAAATATTGCCCAATCCAGGGGTGATAAACTCTTAGACTTACTCACAGCTGTAATCGCTGCCAAAGGTGCTTGTACAAAGTATTGACTCAGGGGTGTGAATACTTATGTAATTTCTGTATTTCACTTTCAATAAATGTGCAAACATTTCTAAAAGCATGTTTTCACTTTGTCATTATGGGGTATTGTGTGTAGACGGGTGAGAAAAAAAAATATATATCCTTTCTGAATTCAGGCTGTAACACAACAAAATGTGGAATAAGTCAAGGGGTATGAATACTTTCTGAAGGCACTGTAACTAATTAACTAACTTACTAAACTAAATGTATAACATTATTAAAATGAAAATAAAGCCTTTATAAACCCTTACTGTACAGTGTTATCGAACTAACTGATAAATTACCTTCCAAAATAAGCCAAGTCCACAAGCAGCTTCAAAATCCAAAATCGGTGTTCGTTTGTCCAACTGCCCTGGCAGCTATTTTACATTCATTCCCATCTCAGTGAAAGGCAGTCCAGTGGGTTTGTGTCCTCTGATTGTTGGGATCAGACCTGTGAAATATGATTAGTTAGGCTCCTCCCCTCTACTGCAACAGTGTGTTGTTAACGCAACACTGCTTGGGGAGTCTGAGGTCACACATAATCTCAGTGTGACCAGGATTTAGTGCCAAATCACACCATATTCCCTACATAGTGCACTGCTTATAACCAGAGCCTTGTGCAAAAAAACATTAGGTGTGTGTAACATAGTGCACTGCTTATTATTATTATTGTTAGTCATTTAGCAGACGCTCTTATCCAGAGCGACTTACAGTTAGTGAGTGCATACATTTTTCATACTGGCTCCCCCGTGGGAAACGAACCCACAACCCTGGCGTTGCAAGCGCCATGCTCTACCAACTGAGCTGCAGGGGATCCCAGAGCTTATAACCAGAGCCTTGTGCAAAAAAAACATTAGGTGTGTGTAACACTGCATGCCAGAACTTGTTTGAACTTTAGACATGGTTTGTGTCCCAAAATGGCACCCTTTTCCCTATATAGTGCACTACTTTTGACCAAGGCATCTGGTTAAAAGCAGTGCACTATTTAGGTAAAAGGGTGCCATTTGGGACACAAACCATGTCTAAAGTTCGGACAAGTTCTGCATCTAATGTTTTTTTTGTTGCATGAGACTCAAATGCTTCCTTAAGTGGAAGTCACATTTCGGTTGGACCTTTGTGTGCAATGACCAATAAAGGGATCTCAATCTGTTAGATAAATGGTGAGTGCAATGCACCTTGGCAAGATAACACATAGTTGAACTTGGTTGCCACACAGAGTTGTAGAGGAAAGGTGACTGCCCTAGAAACTGATTATAACACTTGACCATGACTGTGTGTAACAGGGTTGGTTATGTTTCCACTTGCCTCTAAAGAAATGTGTATCTAATGTTCAAGCATTCTGATTGGTTGGTTCAACTCCGATGACAATAAGGCGTGTTGTGATTGGCCCCGCTTGCAGCTAGGGGGGAGAACGCGAACGTCAGGTCTTCCCAGTATGAAAATTAGATGAAAGGGGGTAGGTCATGTTCTGAATACTGTTTTATATATTTTACAATGTGTACAAGGTTGCTGTACGTTACTGATTTATACATGTGTGGCTATATGGTACCTGTTAGGTATTGAGGGGCTTTCTGGGATGTGCTTTGGCATATGATTGCTGTAGATAAGTGTGTTAGCTAGCATACACCGACGTAATGGTCACATGAGCCCACTGCTAACACAGTTGCCTTCATGTTACGGATTTAGCCATCGACAGCCATCAATATCGTTAAGCTCTGCACAACTAACGTGCTGTTTCCCATTTAACAACAGGTATTTACACATGTTATATTTTGTATTGTATTTTTTTTTATTTTGTTTCGCCGAGTATGAAAATGTGATGCAAGGGATTTTGCCATCGGCAGCCATCAATATCGTTAAGCCCTGCACAACTAAGGTGCTGTTTCCCATTTAACAACAGAAATAAATGATGCTCAACTTGGCTGATGTGATTTATTAAGATAAAACACAACGCAAGGAGAGTACGATATACACCTGTTACACTGGTGTCGTGACTCGTCTTCTTGTCTTCGCCGGACGCCACGTGGAGGGATCCGAGACCCGGCTTCAAGAAGTACCGTGGTTGCTGATGCACGCCAGAGGCCTAGGTTTGGCTTTCTGCACAAGTGGAATTCTCAGGGAGCTCCTGGTAGCATGAGTGAGTGGGGGAATATATAAATGTACTACTGTTTATTACTTGTATGTGGTGATGCTATGTTTATTTAGTGATGTAATTGTGCCGTTATGCTAGTAACCTTCCGAAGCCAATTAACGTGAGGGCGATGCCGTTTTCCTACCACACGGTGGCGACAACTATTTATTAAGGCGTTTTATTTGTTACTTTTCTGTGTTGATTCTTGGTCTGGTTAGATTACTACTACTGAACTTTAATTTTGAGCGCATTATGGTCAAGCTGATTTTATAGAAGTGTTCATATTGATTGTGATATAATAATAGAAAAATTACTTTATATATAATTTTTTTTTTTTTTTTGGGAGAGGTAGGGGAGTTTTCATGTTTAACCCTTCACCACCAGTGGGTAGGGGGGCAGCTATTTCTCCAGTTACTATCCACACCTCTGGCCAGGCCAACTGCACAGGCAAGTGTGCGCTTTCCACATGATTTAGAGCTACCTCAACTCGGTGCATTCGAGCCAGTTTCACCTCGTCCTAGGATGGAGGATGTGTCTATGGATGTCCTGGCGGGCATCGTTAAGCAGATAGGTTACTCCATAGGTGAAAATATCGCCTCTTGTTTGGAATCAAAGGCTATGTGAGATGGGGTGTGACAGAAGGTTGATAATGTTGGTGGTACCAAGGCTGGGGCCAGCTCTAGTCTAAATGTAGTGGTGAAAAATGATGTCAGGGAACCAGTCTGTTTCAGGGGGGATGGTTGAGAGGAATGCTGCACAGTGCAGGAGTGGGAGGAGACCATGTTAGTGTACATGCAGAATAAGTGCTATGGTGGGCAGGAGGGGTCAGATGAAGTTTTGGGTAAGCTGTCAGGGCGGGCACGTGACGTGGTAAGAGTAAGCCTACGCAGTAAAACCCAGTTGACTTAAGCCAGGGCCCTGGACCCGTTTTTGACATTCTGAAGCATCACTTTAGCGACACAATCAACTCCGACATGCCCCTTAGCTGATGTTTATTCTACGTTGCCAATGG